AACCTATCAAAACTTTTGTACCTGAATTCAAGGACTCCCATTTACAAACAAACAAATTGTACAAAAATGATAACATAGCAATGTTTAGTGATGAAATTGGAAAGGGCATGGGTCCCTTAATGTTAAATACACAGTTGGGACATTCATTCAGCAATTATTGCATGCCTCACTCATCTTTTAATGATATTATGGAAAAAGTTTTAAATTCCAAATCAGACCACAATGTAAATACTTCATTAGTCATTTTTGTTGGTAACAGGGGAAATGTAAACAAAAAGAAATTCTTAGGCTACTTTGAATCAAGTTAGATGTAAATAAAATTGTATTGTTTACACTTCCTCTTAGCAAAGGGTTGTCGCAGAAGGAAAGAAATGTTAGATATAATTTAAATATAATGATGCACAACCTAACTTGCCAAATAAATGGACCCTATTGTAATAAATTACATCTAATCGACACTAACAAGCTTGTTAGTAATAATATTTCATTGACGAAAGGTAGATATTACCTTTCTAATTATTATAAGAGACAGATAGCAATTTCGCTATCATATTATTTCTCCATTACAGCCAAGAACTTGGCTAAAACTATTGCTTCTATTGAGCAAATTGACATTACCCATAGCGACTTTGCCAATCCGTTGGCAGATATTTCTTTAGACATTAATAAAAATTTAAATGACATACCTAATAATTTACATAATAATGAGATTGACATTTCAAATAATTTAAATTTACTGATAAGACAATAGAGACTACCTCTTGCAATATTAATTTGATCACTAATAGAAAGTTCAATCACAGTAAATTTATTAAAAATAATATGATAAATAATATAAATTTGGTGCATCAAAACATTAGAGGAATGATGGGCAAAGACTTGGAGGTGGAACTGTTCATGAACTGCAATGCAATTGATATTTTTTGTATTACTGAACACTGGCTAAAAGGGGATCAGTTTATGTTCAATTTTGACCACCACCAGGTAGGCAGCTCGTTCAGCAGAAGTACAGCAATACATGGTGGCACTATGATACTCATTAATAAGAAACTTAAATTTAAAGAGCGCCATGACATTGTTAGTTTATCAGTTGAGCGAACTACAGAAATAGCCTGTTTAGAACTAAAAGGTTTCATAGTAGTATGTGTATACAGACCTCCTTCAGCTATGTATGATTGTTTTGAACGTGTTATGGATGAAGTATTAGTTAAAGTAACAAGATCAAAAAAGAAGGTCATCATCTGTGGTGACTTCAATATTAACCTACTGGAAAATTCAAGTATAGTAACCAAGTTCAAGGCACTTTTTCAATCATACAATCTGAAGAACTTGTTCTTGGAGCCTACACGAATCACTGCCACCACTGCCACATGTTTGGACAATATATTTACAGATATTGTTATTAAGGACAAGAAAATAATCAATCAATTACATTCTGACCACTGTGGTCAATTAGTATCTTTCTGTGATAGGTATGAAAAAGTGTCAGAAAAAAGAATTGTGGTGATACCTAAAACCGCAAAGCGTTGTGAAAACTTTAAGGATAAACTTAAAGCTGCTTTTAATAATTCAGTACTCTGTGTAGAGAATAACCCTAATACTTATTATAATAGTTTTTTTGAAACTTTCTCTTCAACATTTAACACCATTTTTACACCAAAAACGCTAGTGGTTAAAGGTAACGCCACATTTAGTGAATGGGCTACCCCTGGCTTACTCAAAAGTAGGAAAAGATTATACGAGCTATACGATGAGAGGAATTATAATAAAAGTGAACAGTTTCATAATTATGTTAAAGAATATTCGAAGCTGTTTAGGAAACTTTGTAAACTGGCTAAGTCTCGTTTTATTAGTTCAAAGATTAAAAGTAGTAATGATAAGATTAAAACCACTTGGAAAATTATTAATAGTGAAACTGGCAAAGATCCAAACCGTGATAATGAATTTAATTTAAACATAAACAATAAATTTATCACATCAAATGCTGAGGTTGCTGCTGCATTTGAGAATTTTTTTACTAACATTCCTGTATCAACTACTAAATCTTTGAACTCCTCACCATACCTTGCAGAATCAATTTTAAAAGAGAATGTTAGAAGAATTGATAGTGAATTTAAGTTCCAATATGTGTCCCCCCTTTGAAATTATTAAAGCCTTTAACACTATTAATGTTAAAAAAACAACCGACCTATGGGGAAATTCTGTTTTAATTACTAAGACAATTATATCTCTTGTGGCTAATCAATTGTCATTTACATTTAATCAATGTGTTGATAGTGGTGTATTTCCTGATCTTATGAAGTCTAGTAAAATTATTCCCTTATTCAAATCTGGTAGTACATCTGACCCAACTAACTTTAGACCTATCTCAGTACTACCAGTATTTAGTAAAATTTTTGAAAAAATTATGTATGATCAATTGCACAGTTTTTTTAATAATAATAATTTATTGCACAATAGACAATTTGGTTTTACAAGGGGTCGCTCCACAACTGATGCTAGTGTTGAGCTAGTAAAACATATATTTGATGCCTGGGAGGATGCCCACGATTCTCTAGGTATCTTTTGCGATTTATCTAAGGCTTTTGATTGTGTTGTTCATGAAACGCTGATCAGGAAATTACAGCACTATGGTATCAAAAATAAAGCCCTGGAACTACTTGCCTCATATCTATGTAATAGGATTCAAAAAGTTGATATTAATGGTGAGCGGTCTCCAGGCTCTGTGATAGAAATGGGAGTTCCACAGGGTTCTATTCTCGGCCTTTTTTTGTTTTTAGTATATATTAACGACTTACCTCACTTTGTCAAGGACAATCTCGAGATTGTGTTGTTTGCAGATGATACATCACTATTATTTTGACTAAAACGGACACTTTCTGATTTCACATTTGTAAACAGCGCCACTTCGAAAGTGGTTCATTGGTTTGATGTCAACAATTTACTATTAAATGAACAAAAAACTAAGTGTATACGTTTCACTATGCCAAACGTCAAGCCAGTGAAAACTACTGTGATAATTAAGGATGTTGGGCTGGACCTTGTGGACACTACGACATTTTTAGGTATAACACTAGATGCTAAGCTACAGTGGGGCCCACATATTGATAAATTGTCGAGTAGACTCAGCTCAGCAGCATACGCAGTAAGGAAAATCCGAGAGTTGACTGATGTTGATACAGCACGACTTGTTTACTTCAGTTACTTTCATAGCATAATGTCGTACGGTATTCTGCTGTGGGGGAATGCTGCCGACATTCAAACTATTTTTGTGCTGCAAAAGAGAGCTATTCGAGCACTTTATAATTTAGGCAATCGTTGCTCATTGAGGCAGAAATTTAAAGAAATAAATATAATGACAGTGGCAAGTCAATATATTTATGAAAATGTAATATATGTTCACAAAAATAAAGATAGCTTTTTGAAAAAAAGTGATGTACATGCCATAAATACCAGAAATAAAAATAAATTTGTTGTACCCGCCTCTAGGCTCCAAAAGATAAACAAGTCTTTTCGAGGTCAATGTGTCCGATTTTATAATAAAATCCCAAATAATATTCAGGAGTTGAGTATTAACAAATTTAAATCCGCAATAAAACGTGGCTTGTGCCAGAGGGCCTACTACTCGATTGTGGATTACATGGAGGACAAGAATGCTTGGGATTAATTAGCGCAGGCTATTTCTTTCTTAAGTAAAAATGTGGTGTGGCTAGTATGTTTTTTATTATTTTTTCTATTTTTTATGTTTCACTTCATTTTCTCTTGTATTCGTTTGTTCTTCTTAATCTTGTTTTCTCTTCGTTGTTTTTTCACCTTTAAGTCCTTAATAACGGACATACTAGCACACATCAAAACAATGTTGTGATATATTTAATAGTGCCATTGTATCTACTTGTGAATTGCAAAAGAGTGGCCATGAGTTTGTTTGCCCTTTCTTCTCATAAGGCTCAACCCCTTGGAAACGGGCGGTTGTAGATCGGCACAGGCATAGATTTTGTATGGGTTTGATTTTGTTAAATTTATTTGGTTACTATTTGACAAAACAGAGATTGTTGCTTTTGTGTGTGTTGGTCTATGACTTTAGAGTCTACATGGAAGACGATTTCAAACAATTTTGAAAATTTTATGAAATAAAGAAAGTTTGAGTTTGAGTTTGAGTTTGAAACTGGATCAATTTTCTGACTGCACTTGCGTTCCTCGGTCCGAGTCCAATCCTAAATTTCATCAGTACAATTTAGCTTTAGTTATTAAGTATTCCAAAATTTTAAGTAGATTTTTCTGATATGTTCAAAACATATAATTTCACTTTACACACACAGTAGCTCAAACATAGACCAACACATTCATAATATAAAACCAAAGGCAGAAAATTCCAATGATTTTCGACTCCGACTGATGGTCTAAATACATTATTTCAGTATTCGTTACGACTTCCCTTACACCCTGTATGATGTGTTTTATATCTGATATCTCACGGCCAACACTAGCACCGCGCGCGTTTGTCATATCAAATAGCACGCGTTTCCACGCTTCCGTCCCATTGCACAAAATCAATCCCAATGATTACAGGAAAGCGACAGGAATTATGTTACACATAAAAACACTTTGGGGGCGTCCATTAATCTTCTTGGCAAATATCACGTAAGAAACAGGTAAATTGTGAGAAAACTGGGTTAAATTAAGTAAAACATGTTCCTCCACAGAAATATGGCCAAGTCTAATACAATAATATCTGTCATGGTATTGCGAGTGCCGCGGAGTTGCACAGTAACACGTCGGTTGTTTACGCGCTACCACCAACCTTTACACAGCCTTTACACTACAAGCACATTTTAAAAAATCACACGTGAGATTGGGGGAGTGGGTTGAATCAAATCTCACAACATCTCACCAGGGGGGCGGGGGTGTCAGAAAATTGCCGAAAACCCCTCACATAATAAATGGACGCCCTTTTAAAATATTTGCCACGTCCATTATTTTATATAACTGGTGTGTGGTGGTCAGGCGTGCGCGGGCGGCAGCACGAGGCGCGCGGTGAGCTCGCGTCCGCGCTCCGCGACGGCGCCGAACACGCGCCCCACCAGCCCGCGCTGGACTTCTACCACTTTTTCTTTCACTGGAAGGTACAAATTATACATTATAGTTCATCCATATTATCATTATAGTAAATTGTAAAGCTGTCCTTGAAACTATTTTTACGTTAATACCGCCCATTTTGCTTGTAGAGATATGAAATCCTTTCTGTATTTTTTGGTCTAAAATACTTAGTCACAGTTAATTTAAGCCATAGTTAAGTGAAAAAAGAAATTATAGAGCGCATAATATGTCTTCCAACTAACATAATTTCGGTACAAAGGACGAGTATACCACTGAGTAGGCATGGATAAGTTTTTAAACTACCACTCGGCTCCGCCTAACGCTTAACTACCAAAATATGTATGCTAGCCGATCCCCTTACTATTCTATGGGTTTATGGTCACTGCATGTGGTGACGGATTAGGCATACGGAGTGTCACCACCCCTATTGGTCCCGTCGGTGTCCTAAGAGCCGACTAAGAGAGCAAAAGAAAAAGAAAACTTGAAACAAACCCGTCTGACCAGCTTGGTACAATTGACCATAACATCCTTTCTAAGGAGAGGCCTATGTCCAGCAGTAGCCTACTACATCACGCTGTCCAGACGGATTGGTACAGGGTTTGCTTCTAGTTTTCCTTCCCCTTACAGTAGGTACTGTTGTCCTACGTAGTTTGGCCCTTAGTCGGCTTTTACGAACAATGAAATATTATTTTTATTAATTAACACTCTTGATATGGTGGAGATAATGTCAGAAGGGCCATTCCAATTCAAACAAGGACACGATCCCCAATTTATTGGCCAGAGTCAGAGAGATCCCTACTAAAGATGCTTAAAACACCAGTTTTTTTTTAAATTTTGGGGTAATGAAAACTCACCTATAAGAAAGTCCAGCAGAATAGCAGATAGCTCCTTACTACTAGGTTTTGGTTCATTGACCAGTTTTAATGTGGAGCTGGTACAGTGTTGGGCACTGGATACCAGTTGGGCTGCACTCTCTTTGTTACCTACAAGTAACGCTGGTGGGGACGTTCGAAGACCTGGTTTCACTTGCCACCACGCAGCTCCTGGAAATACACTTAGTATTAGTAATGCTTCGAAATATATTTATTACAGGAATAGCTCATGAAAAGTTCTTATAGGACTATAGCTGAAAAATTTTAGTGAATGCTTGCTTGATTCTTGCCGTAAGCTGAATTCAAAGGGATCTCGACTTAAAACTAAAAGGCGGAGGCTCAATCTTTCAATCCAAATTCTGGGCAGGAGCGGTCACTAGGCCTGAAACGCACTTGTGACCCTTAAGTGGCAGGTGTCATTGACCATCGGGTAATCTTCTTATTTACCCTGTATACTGTAAAATAAGTTGCCTGCTTGTGACTCTTTAAATAGTTGAGAAATGTGAATAGATACTGGTCCAAAATGGGCTTATCTGCTTTATTAGGAACTAAATACTTCTCGATACAATACTGCATAACACAGGGCTTAAAGCAAAATTTCCACTTGGAGCCGATAATACCATTTAAGCAGAACCAGTTAACAAAAATTATATTGTAATAACTTGGACTTCATTACTATAAAACCAGGCCACTGTCTAAGACAAAGTGTGTTCGAGCAGGTGGAGAAAAAAGAGAACGGTCCTGCAGAAGGATAACTCCAGAAGTTTGACAACTTGGCCGTCCACAACCTAGACACTTGTAAACTCATTTACCTACTGATTAAAGAAATTGAAGGACCTCTGTAGCTTAAATATACACAGTCGGAGAAGACAGGTATCTGCTCGATCTCTTCTCGTTATACTTAACCTACCTCTTACATAATTAAGTGCTCCGGACCAATCACACGCCCTGGAGCTCGCCCATTTCCCTGCTACATCCTTCGGCTCCCCATCAGCCAGCCATCGTTCAGGGAAGTATGGCCACTGCAATAAACATAGAATTTAAATTCAAAGTATCAATTATTTCGCAAATAAAAATGTTTTCAATATAGGTACATTGGTCTTCATTCGGTATTTATATCTGTATGTAACAAGTCGCAAAAGTTTAAAAGCCAATACCAGTTGCTATAAATCCAAGTTTACCTAATGTGTCACTTTTTTTGATCTTTTTTCATCGATGTTCTTAAGCGATTTTGATGGCGAACTTAGCTTTGGATTTCTGTGTGGCTGGCGATCCCAAATTTCGGTCTCTTTTTGCCACATGACACACAGTGCAGTTGACCAGTTATAGGTGTAGTTACATACCAGAAAGAAGAAAGAAGAAGGGTGGTTAACAAATTGTGTTGCCAAGAAGCCTTCGTGCACGTACCTGTATAAAGTGGAGGGCTTTGTAACAAAATGCTGCTGGCGGGTACTGCCAATATAAGTTTGGATGTGGAGCGTCGACGACAGCAAACTTGCTTACCAACGGACCTCGCGAGTGAACTAGATACCTGCAGACAGTTAGCGGACATTTAAGATAACACACAATGTACCGAGTTACCTTATCTTCTGGACCACAAGGTGCAGAGAGATAAAGGATGCACAAGTGTAAAATAACCACAAGGAAAAGCTAAATAATTTTTAAGATAACCTTTTTAATTTTTATTTGAGAGGGAAACTATTAACAGCCAAAATGAAAAAAACAACTCGCCTAACCTGGCAATAAATCAGTACACATAACTATAGCTAAGTGGATGAACACCACAATTGGAGTATGTCTCCCATGGGTCTATATCCACACTTATATTATAAATGTGTAAGTATGTTTGTTTGTTACGATTTCACGCTAAACCACTAAACCGATTTAAAAAATGTTTTAACAAATGGAAACCTCCATTATCAGCGGTCCTAAGGTTCTCAATTCAACTGTATTTTTATCAATATCTTAAGCATTCATTTGGGTGCCTTTTAATTACACACTTACTATATAAATCTCCAGTATTTAGTATGGAAATGCGGCAATTTAATATTCCTTATCTATCAATAACGAATTCTTATCAATTAATAACTAAAATAAGATACTAATACGTCAGTATATCTGACCATTCTTGAACTTTAAACTTGATACCTAGGTATATATGTCAATAGGTGGGATTATTTGCGTAAAGAGATCGTGTGACATTTAATTAACCGACTTTAAAAGCATTATTTATTTCACAAATGCGACAAAGGCGGACTTAGTGCCCTAGGCATTTTCTCCCAGTCGACCTTAGGGTGATGCAGAGTTAACAAATGGTAAAAAAATTGTCGATTTCGTAAGTAATAGACGTATCAATTAAATGTTCTTTTATTGTTCTTTCTGTACCAATGAATAGATTGAATGTACCACAAATATATATTGCAAGCAATTGTTTGTGACCGGGAAGCACCGATAACGTTTCAGCCCGGCCACGTGTAATATAGGTAAGATGCTCAGAATGTTCTAAAATATAAACTAAAAAAATGATCCTTTGGTGATCTTTATTCTTTTCATTAAAATTTACAAAGAGACGCTTCACATCACACATCAACTTTAATAGTCCACTGCTGGACACAGGCCTCTCTTTAGAAAGGAGGTTTTGGCCTACCAGACGCTTACATTCACAGAAATTGTCATTAAGCGCCTGAACTACTAAAATAGCACTGCAAAGAGAAGGAAAACTTGAAACAAACCTTTTTTTTTTTTTTTTTTTTTAACGTGTGGAAATCCCCTCGGACCGTCACCCCTCCGGGGTTTGCGGCGGGGTGGTGTGTCGGACTCGGACCGACTAAAACCACACGGTGTGCCACTCTGCGCCTGTAACAGGAGGGATCCGGGAACAGCTGTTGTTAAGACATCCGGACCCCTCCTAGCGCCAGCCCGCTCCTGGTGCGGGCTCCGTCTCAATGTAGATGTTCCTCTCTTTAGGCGACGTCCGGCACACGCGGACGCCGCCCCCTCGCGGCTGGCCAACTAATGCGGGTGGAGGGGAAACCCACCCCGTCCACCCGCGGCCACACTCAGGGCGGCATGAGGCTGTGGTAGGCGGGCCTCCGCCGCCCGGTTCGCCGGCGGCGGATCGGGTCCGAGTGGAGGTCGTCCTCCCGGGCCCTCTCCGCCGCCTCCTTCCGCGAGATTACTACCTCGCAGAAGGTTGCGACCGCGGTAAAACAACTGTCGCTACCGGCCATGGAGCGTACTACGGCCGGTAGCGAGAGATCCACTCCGATGACTGCAGTGAGGGCCCGGCGCTGCGCCGCCCATGCGGGGCAGACCGCCAGCGTGTGCTGGGCCGAGTCCTCACTGCAGTCGCAGTGGTGGCAGGCGGGACTCAGTTCCCTCCTAGCGACCGTGTGCAGGTACTTTCCGAAGCAACCGTGCCCGGAAAGCACCTGCGTCAGTCGGAAGGAAAGGGTCCCGTGCTGCCGCCCTGCCCACTCGGCGATGACCGGCTGGAGAGCCTCCACGGCGGCGAAGCCAGCGCGTGGAGTCTCCAGCCGGAACGACCAACGAGCCATCGTGGCTCGGCGAGCGGCTTCGCGCCACTCGCGCACATCCTCGGGCGGAGGGCGAAATCCGCTCTCCGCCCGGGAGTCAGCCACTCGCCGATAAACTTCGGCGAGCACTTCCGCCTCCAAATCCCACGGGGGAGTTCCGGCCAACGCGCATGCCACCTCCGTAGAAACGGTGCGGTAACCGCGTATGGCTCTGACCGCCATTACCCTCTGAGGGCGCCAGAGGCGTACCCTATTCTGGGCGGTCAGAGCCGCCGCCCACACCGGTGCACCGTACAGCGCCATTGACCGGACAACCCCCGTGTACAGCCGTCTTGTCGCGACGCTGGGTCCACCCATATTGGGCAAAAGTCGCCCTAGGGCAGACGCAGCGCCGACCAGCTTTGGAGCAAGCTGTCGGAAGTGCTCGTCGAAGAGCCACCTCCCGTCGAGGATCAGGCCCAGATATTTCATCTGGGCCCGAACCGGTACGAGGACCGAGTTAACCACGATTGAAATGAAATAACAGGGCCTCCGTCTTATCTAGGGCCACCCGTAAGCCCAGCGCCTCAATGCGCCCGACCACCAGGGAGACTCCCCCTGTGGCCAGGCGCGCCGCCTCTTGGAAGTTTGCCCCCCGGGCTGTCACGAGGGTATCGTCTGCGTAACAGATTACACCCAGCCCGGGGGGGAAATCGGCGCGAAGGGCCCAGTCGTACCCTATGTTCCACAAGAGGGGTCCAAGAACAGACCCCTGTGGAACACCGCATGACATGGGCCGACTCCTCAAATTACCTTCCCGGTCCTCGTACACGACGGTACGCTCCTCTAAATAGTCTGCCACCAGCCGCCTCAGGTACTTTGGCACCCCATGATAGTGGAGTGCTTCCCTGATGCAGCTGAATGGCAGACTATTGAATGCGTTGGCGATGTCCAATGACACCGCCAACAGCACGTCGCCACAGCTCACGGCCTCTTCGGTCACGGCCCTCAGGCGCAACACAGCGTCGACTGTCGAACGCCCCGCCCGAAAACCAAATTGGGCGTCCGACAGATCGGGGCCCACCTCGCAGAGGTGCCGGACGATGCGGGCAGAAAGAACCCTCTCAAACAATTTGCCCGCCTCGTCCAGCAGCACGATGGGCCTATAGGCCGCGACCGAATCGGCAGGCCGTCCCGGCTTCCTCAATAGGACCAGCTTCCCGCTCTTCCAGCACTCAGGGAAGCGTCCCGACGCCAAGCTAGCGTCGAACACCTCCCCGAGGCGGTCTGCCAAGTGGTTGAGGGCCAGGGCCAGCACTCGGGCCGGTACCCCGTCTGGCCCAGGGGCGGTGTTCTTGGAACGGATCCGTAGAACAGCCGCCCCTACCTCCGAATCCCGGACGGGCGGAACATTTTCCTCCCCGTGCTCCCCGTCATCTCCGGCCAAGGAGGCCATCGCCGGGGGAGTGTGTTCCGCTCGTTGCGGGAAAAGGCCCTCAACCACTTCTCGCAGGAAGCTGGGCTGGAGAGTCTCCGTAAGGGGGGGGCCCGACGCGCGGAGCTTTTGTCGCACCGCGCGGTAAGGGCGACCCCAGGGGTCACGATTAAGACCCTCCAGCATCTCCTGTCTTTTTTCTTCTTTGGCGCGGCTAATGGCCAGCTTCAGAGTTTTCCGCGCCCGTCGGTACTCCTCATGAAGCCGGTCCTCCTCACCGTCTCCACGGTGACGCCGCCGACTGCGCGTGTAGGACCTCCGGGCACGTGTACAGGCCGCACGGAGGTCCGCCAGCTCCTGGGAAACCCTATACCAACCCTACCTGGCCAGCGTGGGATAGTAGGCCAAAGCCTCCTTTCTAAGAAGAGGCCTATGTCCAGCAGTGGACTGTTATAAACTGTTGATGTTATGTGTGATGTGATATTTTAATACATACTATACATAAGTATTTATATGTACATATACATTAAACGTAATAATTATATAAAACATAATACGAATAAAATATTGATGCATTACAGGTAAAAACCTTCTCAGTATAATGAATGCAAATGTAAGTGATTTTTATCGCCTTGTTGGTAAGGATTAAAGTAAATACAAGAGTTTTTTTTGAAGTCAGTTAAAAATTTCCACTGTCCTTTGACTCTTTTTTGTTTTACTTTCGGTTAATTAAAGCCTTGGTTCTTAGTTTTACTAAACTATGATTTTTATTTAACTCCATAATCAAAATGTACTCAACATCGGCAACTTTCACGTCTTATTACTAGAGGCATATGCAGTAACCGTCGAAGATGACTCATCATTGTTTTGGTTTTAATTTCCTTATGACGTCATATCAGAAGATGTGTCAATGATCCTTTGATTTTGAGTCACTTTTTTTAATGAATTATGCTGTAGTCACGAATTTCTTGAATTGTACTTTATTTCTAAATTCTTATTAATTACTTTTAACACGCAGGACAACAGCACTGCAAAGAGAAGGAAAACTTGACCGAACACTATACCAACCCATCTGGCCAGCGTGGTTTAGTAGGCCAAAACCTCCTTTCTAAGGAGAGGCCTATGTCCAGCAGTGGACCATTAAAGGCTGTTGATGTGATGATGATGGTGATTGTTTGCGCCCTTAGACGGCTCGTACGACACCCACGGAATGATTGGGGGTGGTGACAATCGGTATTCTTAATCCGTCACCACACGGACATTTCGGAAACTTATTCTGAACTGATTTATTGTGGTTAACCAGATTGCAAAAGATGATACTTCTCGATGTCTGTGGTGGTATCTATTAGTGTATAAGGATATAAAACTGATACGATATGTATCATTTTAATACGTCTAATTCCTACTTGAATTATCACACAATATTCACACTAAATACATTGAGTCATTAGATAATATAATAGATACATAAGTTAATACAAAGGTTTTAGGAAATGTGACAGAACACCTTCTGTCGCAATGAGGGTTTTCGATACTTTTTCTGCCACCAGACGGCGCTTCGTTTGCGTCAGGTCCAAACAGCTGTCAGATAACACAGATTCTTACTGAACGTATAATTTTTTAGTGAAATTCTATGTATTTGGAAGTGTTATTGAGTTTATTATGGATTACGACCAGAGAAAGGTTGCCGAACTGAAGATTGAGCTCAAAAAGAGAGGCGAAAAGTTTTATTTGCACACAGAGGCACTGCAGAACACTGTGGCATTTTAGAAAACAATATTTCTTTTGTAATGTTTTTAAGAATGAATAAACCAAAAAAATGATCGAAAAATACAAATCATGTATGTGTTTTGACAGGTGGTTGGACCTGACGCTACAGTGCCGCCATCTCACGTGGAACATTTCAGAAAACCCTCATTCCTGTACTCTTCGTACAAGATGCGCGAAGATCACCGACATAAATTTCAATATTTTTTTTATAGTATAAGGGGGCAAACGAGCAGACGGGTCACCTGATGGTAAGCAACTACTGCCGCCCATGGACACTTGCAACTCAAAAGTCAGAAGTGCGTTGCTGCCCTTAGTGAAGTGATTTGGGCTCCGGTAGCCTCACTCACTCAGTGAAAGGTAACGAAAGAATGGCTTAACACCGGTTTTCTGTGAGGCCGTGGTATCACTCCGGTCGAATCTAATCATGTACAGTCGGGTAAATGGACCGGGTGGAATGGAATACCAATTTAACATGATATTCGTTTTTTCTTTTTTTTACTAAACTTTACCGTGAATAATTGTATTTTTTTTTTAGAAAATACTCACCAGGCAAGCATTCCACCAATCCCGAACCCAATTACAACCGCCGGCTTATTTTCTGACACTCCAAAAGCTCCCAGCAGTGTCGACAACTCCGCCACTGCTCGCGGAGGTGACAGATTACTGCGGTATCCTCCCTCACTCCCCCCAGTCCCCCTGAGATCCAGGGTAATCACGTGGTAATCACTTTCAGCCAGTCTTCTGATAAAGTCCACCCAATTTGGACTCCATAATTTACCAGAATCTGGTGCGTCTTTGAGTATGAGAATGGTTGTACCAGATCTTGGGCCTGTTTCTACATAGTGATATTTGACTCCCTGAAAACAGAAAATATTTTTTAATTAATTTTATGTCTGTCTATACCCACGAATATCTCCAAAAGGGGCAGAGGAATATTAAAAATCCCTTTTTTAACTGCCTCGGTCGTGCAGTGATAGCTGATCTCCGAATATTTGTTTCGGAGTTTGGGTGTTTTTTTTTGTGTATAATATGTATGTATTTACAAAAAAGTATTTAAGTATTCTATCAGTCAATCTAGCTTTTATAGTATAGGGTCTGCTTAGATTGAAACTAGATAACATTGTGGGTCAGATGTCCGAAAATATTATTATTATTAACTTTAATTTTGGCCCTTACATTGGTGGAAATTCTATTGCCCGCCGCCGGTTACTGGGAATTAAAAATGGGAAGGGCAAATTGAAGAAGAAATGGTAGGGGATGGAAAGAAAAATTGCTGGAGAATGTAAGTAATAACTTGAGGCGGTCAGGGTCGAATATCTGCAACTTGACTGGCTGTTACCAAGAAAATCCTGGGTATGTAAAATTTTATCCGTGTGGTGACGGATTAAGAATACAGACTGTCAACACAACTATTCATCCCGTGGGTGTCGTAAGGATACCACTGCAGAGGGAATGAAAACTTGACACAAACCCTATACCAACCCGTCTTACCAACGTGGCCAAAACCTCCTTTCTAAGGAGAGGCCTATGTCCAGTTTTGTCATGACATGGTCCGAGTCCTCCCCGAGTAGGTAGGTAGGTCGGTAGGTGGGTTAGTTTTTAATGGAGGTGGGTTTTTAATGGAGATACCACATACTACTGGTTCTAAGTTAAGGATTGTAAAGAGGTTCTTTATAGTCTAGAAACAACAAGTATTAATATTATATTACTTAACTAGGATGTCAAAATGTTATGCACTGAATGTGAGATCTGAATCCAACGTGGAATTACAATTAATGTGGTCATCGAAAACTTGTCCTAGGTCTGACCTTTATCAGTATCCGTTTTAGGGTTATAGGGGACTTGTTCCTAGTGTGGGGATTGGCTTTTTGAGAAAAAAAAATTGCTATCAAGAAACAGCAGCGTTCTGTGAGTCAACATTTTATGCGTGTCGTAGAAGTTCTTTTTTCATTGTTTTAATTAGTCACAATCTCGGTTTTGTGTATGAAATCAACTACACTAAACGCAGATGTAAATTATAACAACTCAGTTTTGTGTCTAAATGAACACTAACTTTGACTAAAGTCACTGTCTAATTGTATTTTGTTACTAATAATATGTGTATTTCTTACTTAAGTAGGATAAAATTTGTCTGAAACATTAGTAATTAACTAGTTTTCTTCAAGTTTCATGAGACCTAATATAGTTATACAAAGAATTACTTATTTAAATTTTACAACTAAGTAAACAGTTTATACAATTTAAAAATATTTCATAAAATTGAAAAGTTTAAAAGACCTTTTTGGTCCGAACTTTATTGTTTTTACTTTTTCATTTTGAAATAGGAACTTTGCTGTTTTGCAATAAAAACAATAGTTTTTTAAACGATTAGTTTTTTTTATTATATTACAAAGTATGCTACTCTGTGGTGAATTAAACTTTTACAATAAAGTTGTGTACCTTACCATAACTTTTACATAGCAATGTGTTCCAATAGAAGCATCCACAGACAGCTCAACAGGCGGATCATTCACGGATTTCTTTCTGTGTCCTTTCCAGAATCTCTTAAAGGACATCTGTATTATTTGCCACACGCCCACAAACACACATTTCACTATTAATTCCACTGCCTGCCACCCGGAAACGACTTGTAACACATTCACGTGTCTTACACCCATCTTCGCGTCTGTTATATGACTCCGAATGTCTAGTGAATGGAGTGATAAGCTCAAAGGTCTAATATAAATTGCTTCATGTGCTCGTACGACGCATTCTTATCTATTTTATCGATGTTTTGTTGCCGAGACGGATATCACGCGAACATGGATTGGTATGCTATCAGTCACTGTTGGAAATATCGAAGTTCGATTTTTAAATAGTGGTCCATGTTCCGTCAATGTTTTGGTTTGATGTCTTGCTCTATCATTGACGATAGTGTGTATTTTTTTCTCTTTTCTATTAATGTTTTTAGTGAACTACCTACAGATATTTAAATTTATACTTATTTCTATTGCGGTCGTTTTAATGTATTTTACTTGATTGTTTTGCTTTGTAAGCCTATGAGAGGGAACATTAGCATAGCAGATTAGTGTTTGATTTGGAGATTACTGGTAGACTTAGTAAGTACTCATACGGGCACCCCGCATTCAAAAAAATACGCTTACCATCAGACATTTGGTGTTCTTGCATACGAAATTTGTATTTTGTTACTCGTAATGTTTATTTTGTTAACTATTCGTAACTGACAAACTTGGCTTAACAATTTTTTTTTAAATTTAAAAAAGACAACTCCCGCATTAGGAATATATCCTGTGTCGCAGTGGACTTTAGAAACATACATAAAACGGACACAAAGAACATACAGACTCAGAACAACAATTTGTGGATCACACAAAGTGTCGTCCCATGTGGGGTTTGAACCCACAACACTCGGCGTAGTAGGAAACGGGGTGGCGACCGCCTAAACCACTACGCCATCCGTGCAGTCACATATCACATGATCCAACTACTTCGTCTAATAAGTACCAGACTCACCCCAAATTTGAAAACTGTATTGAGGACATAAGCATTTTAAGGTTTAAAAAAAATATAATTAATTGAATTGCCGTCGCACAAAAAAACGGCATAGACAAGAGTTGGTACTTTTCATATTTTGATCGCACGATTATTACAAAAGGGTCAATATTTATAAAACACTATTAAAAACAAAAACAAAATGTAGTTTTGTTGTGGGCTGTCGCGACGGATACCTCCGTGGAGCCGTCTGCGTCTCGAGGGTTTATTTAAAAACAAATTAAGTGAGGTCTGAGACGGAAGGCACTCAACTCGCTTCGGAGAGGATAATATCAAAGACATATTGAACTTACGTTACATTGAATGACACTTGCATATTTAGTCGTTCAATGTTTGTTGTGTCTTATTCTTAGATATTAAAAAATCTAAAAATACGTACCGGAGTTTTAAGCGATGTTTTTTTTACTCCTATGTTATGTATCTTAAACTGAATTTAAACTTTAGGGCTTTTAACGAAAGCCAAACGTTTTATGTAACATAGAGTGCAAATGGGTAGACAAGTTAACAGACGGTAAGTGACTACCGGCGCTAATGGATTTGATTTGATTTTGATGTACGCGAGACTGTTTTTCTTGATAGTTTGTAGGTGGTATCTGGTGGTACATGGTGGTACAGATTAGTTGTGCGAGACAAAATGATTAAAAAAGACAGCAGTGGAGTGCAAATTATAGAAGTGATGAGGATGGACTTTTGTGGTGTTGAACAATGGGGGAAAGCTACAGCTAAACTCTTGTATTTGCTAAACCTTCATCCCATAGCACTAATATTACAATAAGGACATTAGGGTGGCAGCATGGCGGATGTCGTAATTAAGACAGGTGATCCTGATCTGAAAATCTATTTAAATTATTTCTATTTACTTTCTTAAAAATGTTTTTTTTTTCAATCTGTGTGACATTAATATCAATTTCTGTGACTTAATAAGCTACGATTTGACGGCCCTGTTGGTCTAGTGCTTTGTAACCCTGGCTGAAAAACCGGAGGTCTTGGGTTCCAGGACAAATAATTGTGTTATGAGCACGATCATTTGTTCTGTGTCTAGATGTTATTTATTTTTAATATGTATGTAGAGATATTTAAATATGTTTATCAGCCGTCTGGTTTCTATAGCAGTTTGCGGTATATGAGATGTATGAATTTAATATTATTAATAGGCTTCCTACATATGAATCAATTGTTGTTTAGACACGATTGATTACGAACACATATAGGAAGATCAAGTGTTGTACAGATACATGAGGCGTCGGGGAATTATGACCGGCCTTACAAATACTGGCTAACCGTGTAGAATTGAACTTCATGTAACGTATGATAAATATGTCCACACATTAATGTACAGTGAAGACATGCAGAAATGTCCAGTCAGCACCGCTAACGACACTAAAGGGCATTCATGGTTACTGTGACGTTTAGTTCGCGTCCCATACAATATTGAAAGGAAATATTCAAAATTGATTTTCAATATATTTGATAAATTGACGCCTGCAGTTATGTTGGCAGCAATGTGGAGATGAATAATTTGCGTTCGTATTTGTTGTTGTACATTGTGATTTGCTGTGTTAAGAGGTTATTTAATAATGTTAGTGGTTGCTGGCTGTATGTGAAAATAAATTAAATTGAAGGTGAGTTATTTTTTGCAACGTCAGTGAGTATATCGATAGTAGCTACCTGTTGAAATTTAAAAAATAATGGTAGTTTTTTTTAATGGCCTAGGGGGGCAAACGAGCAGACGGGTCACCTGATGGTAAGTGATTACCGTCACCTATGGACACAATACTCAAGGTTCCTAAGCTTCACATTAAGCTACGTTTTATTGATTTGGATTTTATTACCTACTGGTAGGAAGCATTCGCAGAGCCTCTAATAAAGTAGATGGCTGTCAAATCAAATCAGTATATTTTTTAAACGTCAAACTCAACGTCAATTTTTTGTATGAAATACTACTATATTTCGTGACGTCATACCGAGCTATTGTCAAATCGTCTATATTTGATATCAAGATATCAAATAAATAGGAGGATTAAATAGATAATGGAGGACAATTCAACTTCTACTTTAAGATGTTACTTTTAATGATGCGGGCAAAATAATTAATTTTAAACCTAGGAATCAACCCTATAGTAGAATGATTTTACCGCCTTAGTTTACCATATATACCTACTGTGTGGTGACGGATTAATAATACGGAGTGTCGCCACCCCTATTCATCCCGTGGGTGTCGTAAGAGCCGACTAAGGAAGCAAACTACGCAGGTCAACAACACTGCAAAGAGAAGGAAAACTTTCCACAAACCCTATATAAACCCGTCTGGCCACCGTGGTATAGTAGGCCTATATCCAGCAGCAGTGGACTATTAAAGGCTGTGGATGTGATGTGATGACGTACTGTAGTTTTCTATATGAGTTGCAGATGATCATGAGTAGGGGGGGGGGGGGGGGGGTAGTCGCTCATCATCTGGTGACCTGACAAATCGGTTGCCCCCTATACCAGATACTTAAAACATTAATAGATTGAAGGTATTCCTCAACATGTGTATCACCAATAAAAACTAGGTCAGATTGTTCACAGCCTCAGTCAATAATTTCAAATCTAAAGTCGTATTAATGACATAACTGTGTCATTTGTAAATGCGTATTTGATATACCAACATTACGAGACGAACGCAGACGGTTCTGCCAACTTAACCTCAAGAAATATAATGTAGATTGTTATAAGGTGATTATACATTGGTGTATTTTTGTGAAAGCCCGTTGTTTTATCTCTATGGGATACTTTTGTAGATAAGATAATAAATATTGATTACTTTGACATTTTTTGATTATGACATAGAGAGAAAATGAGCAGATAGGTGAAACTCAACGAAGCTTAACACCGTTTTTCTGTTAGGCCGTGAACTCACTCCGGCTGAGCCGGCGTATTCTGCGTATACTAGTTCTTACCTTCATAATACGATATAGTTACTGATAAATTAAATAAACTTAGTAAGTCTGTTTGACCCGGCTTGATGTTGTTATTACAACTATCAATTAATGTAACTGCAGCAACAAAATGATTCACAATCAATTACTATCGGCGTGAAATCTTGTCTTTCTGTTAACTGAAGGCGACGACCTGCAAAAGGACCGAACTTATTTTAATACTGTTAAATTGATACAATTATTCATGAGGAAGGTTTTAAACTATCATTCATTGCGATATTGCATAAATTTTCTGAGAAATTACGATGATGAATGCTAAAGATTGTTGACAATAGTTTTTTTTTTATGGAATAGGGGGCAAATGAGCAGACGAGTCACTCAAGCCTGAAACTCAGGAGTCACAAGCGTGTTATATTATATAAGGAAGCGTGTTATATTATATATTATATAAGGAAATACCGCAGCCGATAACTTGTTCCACAGGTTGGTAGTGCGAGGCAAAAAGTGTCTCGAAAAGCGCACAGTGGTGGAGCGCTAATTATCCAAGTGGTCGGAAAATCAAGGCAAGTTGGAGCTGGCGTACGCCTTGCAAACCAATCCCGACATTTACGGGTCAAATAAGGTAGTAATTTTTGACGTGAAAACTATTTTAGGCGCGTTGGGCATTCTTGAACAACAAATAAAAGACTGTACTTTTTGAGATGGGAAAAAACCATTGAACTCGCGACACTGTTACCGTTACCGACACCTCTGTATATAAGTATCACGAGCGTTGAGTTTGGCTTGAAATACATTGATAATATAACTATATATATAATTTAAACATATATTGTGGATATACTGTACAACATAGATATATGTATATTCATGTCGGCACTTTTCGAATCGAAAAAACAAAATTATAATTAAAAAAAAATAGTTACAATAAAAAAAAACATTTTTTCAAGTATTTACTTCTGTCGGCTCACCCGGAATGCCACTGTTTTTCAGTTGGAAGCTATATTAAGCCTCTTTTATTGCCCAATGTCAGTCTGTTGTATCCTTATCCTAATCCTCTATGAGGGCTGACAGGATGCGTCGTCACGTTTCCGGACCCTCCGGTCTAACACCTTTGTGTAACACCCTGTATATAAGGGAGCCTCCTTATATTCGGAGCAGACAATGTTATCTTTGAGAGCATTTTACTA